TTACTGTCCCAAACTTCCATTTCTCATGAAAGTAATCTCTTACTGCTACTCTCGTACCAACATTAATTCTACGAGATTTTATGTAATGTTCCTCTGAACTTGTAACTTTCGACTCGGGTCTTATCAAATCTATTCTAGATCGTATCTCCCGATTAAACATTAAATAAGAAGGTGAATGTCCAGTGGTTGAATGTGGCATTTTCCTATACCTACTGAAGTAGAAATTTACCCAATTCAAAATTTCGAGTATTTCCCTCACACTTCATAGTTTTTAGTGCTTGTGTCATAGTCTGAACATAATCTCTCCGCCAACCCATTGGTTGCTGGATGGTATGGAGCTGAAAGTTTTTGTAAAATCCCATTTTGTTTTAGAAATGTTTTGAATTTTAATGAAGTAAATTGGCTACCATTGTCACTTACAAAAACTTTCGGTATTCCAAAAGTCGAAAATATTTTCCTACAAATTTCAATTGTACCTTCACTAGTAATGACTTTGGTAAAATGAATTTCGGGCCAATGTGAATATGAATCCACTAATATAAAATAATAGCCCCCATTTAACGGTCCCGCAAAATCGGCATGTACCCTGTCAAATGGTGCTTTTGAAACTTCCCATGGGTGAACTTCGACTTTTTTTACATTATTCTTGACTTTATTACATTCGTAACAATTTTTTACTAATTCTTCAATAGAATTGTCTATATTTGGCCACCAACAATAACTGCGTGCCAACCCTTTCATTTTCACAACACCAAAATGTGAAGTGTGAAGCTCTTCCAATACTTCCCTGCGTAAAACAATTGGTATAACTACTCTAGATCCTCTTAAAATACACCCTTTTTGCACCGTAAATTCACTTTGATCTAAATTAAATCTTAATTGTTTGTCAACTACCTTCCCCTAATTTAAACCATGTAGTAAAGGTCGTAATGTATCATCATTATAAGCCTCCTCCGCTAATCGTTTCACTGTAACTGGTAATGTTTGTATTTGATTTAATTCAAAAACATCGGGAACATCCAATCTATTAGGGTTTTCATTTTTTACTGGCAGTCTTGACATCGCGTCTGCATTTGCATTTAAATGAGAACGTTTGTAACGTATTTCGTAATCGAATGTTTGTAGATACAATGCATAATGTTGCATTCTAGTGGAAAATTTGTACTAATGGAGCATGATCCGTATACAAAATAAAATGCCTACCATATAAATACTTATAGAATTTCTTTACGCCAAATATTATTCCATATGCCTCTTTGTCTATCTGTGAATATTTACATTGTGTATTGGTTAATGTAGGTATGTGACGCAAATTGTATTGGTTTTTCAGATCTATCTGGGTAAATATGACTAAGTACAGCCCCTACACCATATTGACTCGCATCTGTAGCTAGCACAATTGGTAAACAAAATGTACCAAAAATGAACCTGCTTGCATTTCTCTTTTCAATAATTTAAATGACTTTTCACAATCTTCAGACCAGTAAAATTTTGTATCTTTATATAGAAGTTTGTTTAAGGGAAATAAAATTGTACTAAGATTCTTAAAAAATCTACCAGTCCAATAAAAGCTCGTACTTGCTGTATATTTACTAGCCTTGGTGCCTTTTCTATCGCCTCCGTTTTTGATTTTATTTTATGTATGCCTTGTTTATTTATTAAGTAACCACAATAATCGATATCTTCGGCTAAGAATTTACTCTTACCCAAATTTATTTTTAAATTATGGAGCTGTAATCTTTTTAAAACCTCCTCTAAAATTTGTAAGTGTAATTTTGTATTTCTTGCTGTAATCTTGATATCATCAATAAAAACTGGCACACCAGGAATACCTTGTAAAATTTGTTCTATTGTTCTTTGCCACACTGCTGGTGCATTTGCCAAACCAAACATTAATCTAGTTGGACGATATAATCCCTTATGTGTACTTAAAGTAAGAATATCTCTCATCTCTTCCTTCACCTCTAAATGTAAATATGCTTTATTTAGGTCTATTTTTGTAAATTTCTCCCCATTTGCCATTTCTGCAAAAAGTTCATCAATAGTTGGTAAAGGGTGATCATCCACTAAAATATTAGGATTGACTGTACCTTTGTAATCCCCACACAATCGAACCTCTCCATTTGCTTTAAGTACTGGTACTACTGCGGTAGCCCATTCAGAGTGGTCAACTTTTTCTAACACCCCTTGTTCTACTAAATTTTCAATCTCTTTATCTACTTTGCCTAACAAAGCAAATGGTACTGTGCGTGCTTTTATATATCTTGGTTTAACATTAGGTTTTATATGTATTGCAGCTTGTACCTATACCTTGTATTTTACCTATACTTGAACCTAAAATTCCCTTGTATTTATTTAATAATGCTGAAATTTCTGTTTGTCCATTATTATTAACTATATCTAACTCTCCCACTTCTAATAACAGTATTTTTAGTTTTCTAATCCATTCTCTACCTAGCAATGAATGTTTATTTCCCGTAACTATGTAAGCATCTAAATCTCCCTTGAAATCCTTAAATACATCAACTTTAACATATTATCCCAATACTTTTAAAGCTTGGTTGCAGTAAGATATTAGTTTCAATTTAGTTGGAATTATCTCAAAATGTTGGAAAAATTCTAAGAATGTAGTATAATTTATTATTGTGACAGGACTTCCACTGTCAATTTCAAAATTAATCATCGTATTGTAAACACATAAATCAATAAAAAACTTATCCCTTAACTCAGTATTATCTGAAGATCGTATTTGTAAAATTTCCTCAATTTCATTTATTGAATCACTGGATTTACCTTGCACATCCTTGGCTTTTATACATACCTTTTGCAAATGTCCCTTTGCTTTACAAAAATTACAATATAAATTCCTTGGTAGTACATTTGTCTGCAAAATGTGTATCAGAACCACACCTGTAACATCTTAAATTAGTATTTGTAACTCCTTTCCTGTTTGAATTTTTAAATTTGTAGTGATTTAATTTGCTAGTAGTTTCAACATGCTTTATTATTAATATTATTAATATAATTAAAATTCTTTGAATTATTATTATATCTAGTCTTACTAAGTATCTATCGCGTTGACTCTCACTCCTCTTTGTAATTGTAGTTGTTGTGCATCTTTTTCACTCAGTTTCATTCCTGTCGAAATCTCCACAGCTTTGTCCAGGCCCAGATTCTTAGTTTCAAGTAGTCTGCTATTCTCTTGGAACTCAATCCATAAACAAACTGATTCCGTAACGCTGTCTTCAGAAAACTTCCAAAATTGCAATTTATCGCAAACTTCTGTAGTCCATGTAAATACTCCTGTATTGTTTCACCATCGTTTTGTTTCCTCGAATGAAACCGGAATGCTTCCGCAATTTCCAATGGTGCGGGATTGTAATATTTATCCATTAAGTTAACAATCTGCTCGTATTTCATCTCCTCTGGTAATGCTGGCGCTACTTTGTTACACAGTGTAGGTATCGTATGACTCACTTCCCAGGTAATGAAGTAAGTACCTCTAGTACCTATACGTCTTCATGTGGTGTGCGGTGCAAAAAACTTTAAATGCTACCTCCAAACGTTTAACCCATCTGGTCCATTTCATCGACGTATTATAACTTTCCACATTGAATGTGGTATTGATTGAAGTAATATGATCTTGTATTGCTTCGGCCATGTGAATCCGTGCGTGTATAATCTCACCTTTTGTAAATTGTACTTGGGCCTAATCCTCGTCGCCAAATGTTAATCTTTGTATTGTATGTTTTGGGTTCATGGTACCTCAGTTGTACATAAATTGATTCAATTTATTTATTTCGAACAGAGCAGAATCTCTAATGACAATCTAATTGAAAAATAATAAATATGTAACTAAGTAACACTGCTAAGCAACCAAAACAACCGACATATATAACAAGGTACCTTCAGTTTTAGCCTGACAATCTACCTGTTCCTGACATGTCCAAAAAACGGCTATCGCAAGAGCTAGATCGTGCTAGGAAGCTAAAAAAGTTTTTGATAGTCTTACATTACACAATTGACATTAGACACGTGAATTTCCTCAAGTTCAATAACTCTGAGCTGGAGGGGGCGACGCACATGCATATATCCGTGCTGCACCCTCATTGGTTAAAACGGTCAACCGATGAGAGAGTAGTGTTCCTGGCCGCAAAAATGTTTAAAGGCAGAGCTCCGGAATGAAACCGGCGGCGCAGTGATTGCTAGCATTATGTTGAAATCTACGAGGCGAATGCTGGAGCAGCACTTTTCCCCCTCAGCATCCTAACTCCGTTTCAATCCTTAACTTTACTCATCTTTGCATTCTCTTTCTCGGACTGAAGAGGGCCACGAAAACTTGAGCAGCCCGCCTCCGCGGTATCCTTCGTGGGAGGAATGAAACACGTTGATATTTTCCCTTGTTTCTGCAAAGGCAATTCCTGCTTCGATGGCGCTTCAAGAAACAACCATCTCTACATCTGCAGAACCAGTTGGCCTTGCCATGCTCGACCTCGCGCCACGCTCCACCAGCCATAGTGGCAGGAAGGCTCTGGTCAAGATTCGCCTGCTCCAGAAGGGTACACAGGTGCTCTAAACATAGATAAGTCCTCAGAAATCGTCTTAGATTAGAATACATTTATTCACCATCCAAGTTCAGTTCTACAGATTTCAAGCACCAATTGGAATCTAGGAGTTTCCCTTGCACTGAAAAGCAATTAGAATACTCCGTAAATCTTATAGAGCTTCCACCTACTCTGACTACTTTCGTCTAAAAATGACTAGTTTTATTTTTTCCTTTCACCTATGCTGAAATGCTGCCTACCTACGTTAAATTTTCATAGATTATGGGTTCAGAAAGAATGCAATGAAGGGAACTACATCTGAGCAATGTACTTTCATCCACAATTTGGTTTATATAAAATGAATTCAGAAATGAATCCAAAATTTGCTAAAAGGAGACTTCAATCATCTTGTAAGTACACAAAATGGCTCTTAGAAAAATTCAAGAACACATGAAATATACTAATTAAGTTTATTATCTACTGAACATTCAATTTACAACTAAATCTATGATGCAGCTGCTTCAGCTACAGGTTCTTCCTCCTCCTCTTCAGGTTGTGCAACTTCTACTTGTTCAACAGGAAGATAAACAGAATGGTCCACTTTGAATTTCTCACGAGAAGGCGGACTAATCATCAAGCACCTACAGTTCGCAATAAATTCAAAAAGTAATGACACACAAGGCGAACCTACCTTGAAATAAAAGTACCTGAACGTTTGGGTTTCATCTCATAAACATCCAGGAGAAGACTAGCGAAATTCTCTTCCAAATGAGCATCATCCATACCCAACTACAAGAATTACTAAACTAAACCTCACCTAAACAAAAATACACTTACTGTGCCAATTACAGTTTCGATTAAACCAAAATCTTTTTCATACTCGTCTTTAATAGCGCTGTACGTGATACCGTTCATAAATTTTGTTACACTGTCATGCAAATTGGCATTCAAAGTCCCATTCTTCGGATTTGGAAACTTTTTCTTTAGCAACCCTCGTATCGAAACCAGCTCTGGGAGTATACTCGGATGAGCTACTATGAAGTGAAAGTTTTGCAGAGATAGTGATCCACTTTGAATCTCTTTGATTAACTCCACGCCACCGGCCAAACTGGCACCTGCCTTTCTGGCGGCCTCCTGTAATTCGGCTTCCTTAACAAATGCAAGAATTGATCGCTCTTCTCCGTGATTTATTTTATGAGGCATAGGTGCCATGCGTGTAAAGTTGTCGAGGAGACGTGTCTAAAATAAGATTATACTACATGGAAAGAATTGTGCTATGTTATTACCTTTCTCTCTGCAACCATATTGAGCTCTATCTTAATTTGTACATCAGCGTTTGGTTTGTTATACATGTCAGGATGATGCGTCTCCCTGTGACATTGTAGGGCTTCGACGAACGGATACGTGATCATTTTATACTTGCGCATTATATAAACGTTATCAATAGGCGTGGGCTTCGCTGAATCATCAAACTTCAATTTGGGACGATTTTTAAGCAACCTAATTTGTATATGAATATAACGGTACCTACGAGCATAATATACCTACTTCTCCTTATCACGCTGATTATGTGGAATAAACGCAACTTTTTCCTTAACTACTTTAACTTTCTTCTTCTCCCTTCTCTCACGTGTACCCTTTCTCGCTGCATAACGAACTGTAACTAAGGGTTTGTATGGTAAAGTACTTTCAGTAAGGAACGGTAACAGATATTGACCTAAAAATAAGTACAAAATTAAACAATTTACACATGTATGTAAAATTACATCTGTTTAATAACATTGTAATTATTAATAATTAAAATTCAAACAAAATTGAAAACTAAAAATTGAGGTTAGAATCAATTACTTGGCGTTGTTGCCAAATTTTTGTACCACGAAATGTTCGCGTTCAAGCAACTGCTCTTTTGGTTACATTACACTGACATATACCTCTTGGGGCAACATAAATGGACTGAGAAAACATAAGAAAGTAAATAAAACTTGGAATACAAAATGGTCTTATAATTAATATATTTTCAATAAAATCTGCTTTAACTTTAAAAGTTTCTCAAACAGAACAGCTTTTAAATCAAGGGTGATGAGGAATACTGCTTTTTAATAAATATAATAATAATAATTTCCCGGGGTTACGCCCCTTTGCATTTTTCGTCCATGCACTCCTGCTCTACCAGACCATTTCTAGAGCGGCTGCTATCTTTTGCACAGCTTTAGAGGCTAGAATGGTTTGGAAAGGTTGGCAGTTAGACGAATATTCAGGCTAACAATAATTAACTAAACTTAAGAGCGAAGTAATAATAACGAAGACTCTTTTTTTATTTACTCCAGTTGAAAAGCCGAAAAAATCTGGAAATGAAGCAAGACCTCAAAATAGTTGTAGTCGTAGAACCAGAACTTTTAAAAAATAATTCTATCGGAGTAGTGCAAAACTGGTAACCAATATTTCATATGAATTCCAGCCTCTGCTACAGAGCTTGCATAAGCTTTCCAATACCACTCATATACTTAGTGATTTTTTTGAAAAGTTCTCTTGCACTGTCAAGATGCTATAAAGCTGTCGAAAAACTTTGAGCCTTTGATGTGCCTAAGTGCTGCTTAGACAACCTCTCCTGTAAATATTACAGAGCAGAGAGAACTCTCAGTCATTTCCAGAGCGTTTATGTATTCAGGATAACTTCATGGATGCTCCTCTACAAATGCTAAAAACCCCAAACCCAAACGAACCTTTGACAAACAATTTTAAATCAATAACCCTTTTCAGCAAAAAGTAATTTGGAAAACTGAAGGGAAAGGTGGCGAAAAGACGACAGGTGCGTTAGGTGTAATTATAGGAATAGCATGATATTATTTTCTCATTTCCATAAGATTTATGACCAAAGTGAACCAGTACCTATTTTATTTGGAAATTATAGGTATATGAAGTCGAGATTTGGTAGCCTAAGGGGGATTTGCGCGTTGTATATGAACTCGAAGGATAATTAAGATGCCAATTTTCTACGGAATTTTAATAACCTTGTTTTCATTTTCTCTGATAATTAGCTAGGCTCTTACAAATTTAGAACGATATTCTATTATTTCTCAATCCTCCCCCACTAGTCCATTATTCTAGTAGGTAAATGTTGCAGCTACTTTTATTCCAGTACCTACGCTTAATTTTGAGAATTATAGCGCGGAATGATGCCATATTATATCACAAGATAGGTACAAAGCGTGTATGCCCGGTTAGCTCTGAGGTGCACCACAAAAACAGTACTTCTCTCTCGAAAATCAATTACCATATAGCTTTTTTTTTAAATTGCAGCTGATAATTAAAAGTAACAAAATATACAATCCACACGAGGTGCGTCGCCTATCATTGTATTTCAGCACTTTCATGCTACGACAAAAAACGATAAATTCATTGTAAAACACTTCAATTAAAACAGAATTTTTTAACAACCTAACATCAACCCCAATTAGAGAAACGTGTTAATAATTTTGAGCCCCGAAAAAAAAATTGTCTCAGATCGACCCGGAAAAAAAATTTTCTTATAGAATGTGGCCTGTAGAATCCATAATTTCAAACAGCTCCAAGATTGGGCTACTAGTTCAAAAGTTACAGCCCTTTGAATTTTTTTTCGAAATTGGTTTCTAGTCTATAACTTTTGATTGAGAAGTCTGATCGAAAAAGTAGGAATTGATTTGGATTCTACGCACCCAAATTAATAAGAAAAAGTGTTTTCCCGAGAAATTTTGGTGTAGTCGATTTTTGGTAAAAAAGGAAGATTATACACTGCCTTTTTTTGAACCCCGAAAAAAAAATTGTCTCAGATCGACCCGGAAAAAAAATTTTCTTATAGAATGTGGCCTGTAGAATCCATAATTTCAAACAGTTCCAAGATTGGGCTACTAGTTCAAAAGTTACAGCCCTTTAAATTTTTTTTCGAAATTGGTTTCTAGTCTATAACTTTTGATTGAGAAGTCTGATCGAAAAAGTACGAATTGATTTGGATTCTACGCACCCAAATTAATAAGAAAAAGTGTTTTCCCGAGAAATTTTAGTGTAGTCGATTTTTGGTAAAAAAGGAAGGTTATACACTGCCTTTTTTTGAGCCCCGAAAAAAAAATTGTCTCAGATCGACCCGAAAAAAAAATTTTCTTATAGAATGTGGCCTGTAGAATCCATAATTTCAAACAGTTCCAAGATTGGGCTACTAGTTCAAAAGTTACAGCCCTTTGAATTTTTTTTTCGAAATTGGTTTCTAGTCTATAACTTTTGATTGAGAAGTCTGATCGAAAAAGTACGAATTGATTTGGATTCTACGCAGCCAAATTAATAAGAAAAAGTGTTTTCCCGAGAAATTTTGGTGTAGTCGATTTTTGGTAAAAAAGGAAGGTTATACACTGCCTTTTTTTGAGCCCCGAAAAAAAAATTGTCCCAGATCGACCCGGAAAAAAATTTTCTTATAGAATGTGGCCTGTAGAATCCATAATTTCAAACAGTTCCAAGATTGGGCTACCAGTTCAAAAGTTACAGCCCTTTGAATTTTCTTTCGAAATTGGTTTCTAGTCTATAACTTTTGATTGAGAAGTCTGATCGAAAAAGTTCGAATTGTTTTGGATTCTACGCACCAAAATTAATAAGAAAAAGTGTTTTCCCGAGAAATTTTGGTGCAGTCGATTTTTGGTAAAAAAGGAAGGTAATAACTGCCTTTTTTTGAGCCCCGAAGAAAAAATTGTCTCAGATCGACCCGGAAAAAAATTTTCTTATAGAATGTGGCCTGTAGAATCCATAATTTCAAACAGTTCCAAGATTGGGCTTCTAGTTCAAAAGTTACAGCCCTTTGAATTTTCTTTCGAAATTGGTTTCTAGTCTATAACTTTTGATTGAGAAGTCTGATCGAAAAAGTACCAATTGTTTTGGATTCTACGCACCAAAATTAATAAGAAAAAGTGTTTTCCCGAGAAATTTTGGTGTAGTCGATTTTTGGTAAAAAAAAGGAAGGTTATACACTGCCTTTTTTGAGCCCCGAAAAATTTCTGATTTTCGTTTTTAATTTTTTCATGGTAAACTAATCGTACTAGGCATTTCTAAATAACACATCACTTAGAGACTTTTTAATGGAAATTTCGAATATGGCACAGCGAAACATCTCCACGATTTGTTTAATATTCAGTACTGAGATAACATGAACCTTGTTGGTTGTTAATTGCTCATTATGCACCAAGCCGACAGGCGATGGCGTTATTCCACCAAATAAAATAAAAAAATCTTCCACCGCATGTGAATATGATCATTATTTAATTTAATTAAGCTAAAAAAAAAGCATTACACTCTGCAGTTTATATTTATGATAAATGCATAAATATTATATCAACAAATTAATCGTAATGAAATGACCTCTTGATTGATTTAGGGTTTTCCATTATGCACTAATAAAATTGCCATGACCTGATTTTCACCTGCTCCGATTGCCATAATATTTGATGGGGTAAATAGGCGATACTCTTATGCAAAACTGCTTAAAAAATCTTCAAATTTACTGCACATAAATTGTAAATTAATGTTTTATGTTTATATCCATAGATATTAAGCGGTGGCAAACCGAAACAATCAATAATCAAGGTCAATACAAAATTGCGCTAGGTTCATTAACAATATTAACAAAGCCGACAAAGAAGTAGGAAGATAAGCACGTACTTAATATTTCTGCTTAATCAAATTTAATCGTAAGTAACGTATGTAAAAAACTAATTGTCGAACGTTGTTTTTACGATAAAAATTGAAGGTTCCATCAGCTTACGTAAGTGAGCGTAAAGCACTAATTAAAGGCACGTGACGATCGCCAAATTTTACAATGCACCAATCACCGTTCTCGTGCCCAGATGACAGACAGACAGTAAAAGAACAAAACGAAACGAGCCCACGAAAAAAATTGTCTCCGTTTTAGAGTCCCCCTAACCAAAGATCATTCAAATCTAAAATTTTTTTGTTGCATTCATGCCGATCTTGATCTGGTTTTAGTTCATCTAAAGTAGTTTCTACGGGGCCTGACAGCTTCCACTGGAAGCCTCTCTTATACACAATGCCGGCAGTTTGTTGAGGCCACCGACCGTGTACAGTTCTGCGAGTTTCTAAACTAGTGATTCAAGTTCAGTTTTGGTTAATACAAAAAAAAAGGTCACATACTTTCAGTGGCAAGCGCGTAAAAAGAGTGCCAATTTATATTAGACGAAAAGATCGCGCGGTCTACAATTTATGCATTAAGAAAGGTTTGTAACCAATTTAAACTGAATGAAGATAATCGCGTAAAATTACTGATCACCCCATCCTAGACAGTATGAATTTAAATTGTTTAAAGTAGAAGGTATGAAGAAACAGGGACACATTTAATTATTATTAATTTAGTGGAACGGTGCGCGCGATGTTTTTATATAAAATTGGAAGACTTGAAAAAGTAAAAATTGAACAAGTTCTTCAGGTAGTAATACTGTGGGTCGTTAAGGTACAGGCGGAAGTGATCAAAGCTCAATCCCGTGCAGAATTTTGTAGAAAATTCGATTATGTAGATTAGGTACCTTTATAGTATTTGTAGGTACATTTATATGGGAAAATTATTATTACTATGTAAATGTGGGCTTGTGACGGACTTTTCGTGTACTTAGCATTTTATGGCTAATTTTTATGCATTATTCTAGAGTTAACATATTTAGTTTTTCAGTCGTCAAATTACGTATACTATTAAATAATATTCGTACGTGTATACCTTGAGTTTTTTTAAGTGAAAAATTGTGTTAAAATCCTTCGGCATTACATATTCGTCATATAGTTTAATTATTGTGAAAATTTGAAAATGGCATTACCAGAAGTACGTTTTATTTTTGTTATTGGCTTGTGTCCCTGAGGATTGTAAATTCTTCTTTCAGAGTCCTTTTATAATTGCTATAAAATCAGTAAAACTATTAGAATCTGTATTTTTCAAAATTATAAAAATAACACAGCTGTAATCATAAGCAATCAACTGAGAAGTGACTTTTATGAATGGTCTTTATCAATTATTGTGCGTATTAATTTTGTTGTTGATGATTTTTTATGTTGAGTCCCCATTCAGTACTCGTTTAACACTTGAACAATAGATACCTCACGTAAATATACGACAGTTTGATATGTTCAATCCAGGGATTATTCTCCCGTATTTGCATGGCCTCTATTTTATCCCTTGGCGCTATTTTAGTTAGTACTCGATAACTACGTATAGGTACTTTGATGAAGACCAAACTTCTTCTACTGGTTTTAGTCACCCTATTTCTAATGTGTAAATATTTCTCAAACTGCTATCACTTTTTATAATAAGTTTTGTTCATAGATGAATTTTTAGGTGAGATTTCAAAATTTCGCATACATTTCTTGATAATTATGGTTGAAATTTCGGAACGGACGACTGAAACGTTGATAGCGAGACTTTTATGAACAAAGTTGACAAAATAACAGCTGCACAGAATGTTGAAAATTAGAAATTTAAATACAAAAAGGTGTAAAACGTCAAATTATCCTACTTATTTCAGACGAATAGATGTAATTACAAGTTGGGTGCTCGTTACAATTTTCATATTAAATTACAGTTAAGTGACATTATTTAACGTTTTGACTGCCGACATACATTTAACGTATTAGTCATGAATTCATTCCGAATAACGTCCTCATATTTGAATGATCGTTAATTAAAGCTGTGTTCTAAGTAAGTCAACAAACAGAAATTCAATAGGCAATGACTATTCATCTACCTTCCAGATAAATAAACATTACACCTGTACCTTCAAGGTTAAAGGACATTGATGTTGCATAATAATATCTAACATAAATATGTGAAAAGTAGTGAGTGGAATGTCACACTTGTCATAAATCATGCTGTTTGTTCGCGTTGTCTTATAAAAATAAACGTGTAGTTCCATTACAGGTTTAGGCACTTTTTTCGGAAATCCTTAACATTAATTAAGGACGTCCGTCGTAAATGTGTAGTTATTACTTGTGATTTTGTGCAAAGAATTAAGTGATGTTGGTACGCTTTTTTTTATTGGATAACCTTTTTTTACAAGTTACTACCTATTCATTAAATTAACATTGGACTTTAATCAAGGATGGTCTAGATTTTGACCCACCGATTAACGTACAATTTTTTGTGTAAATTCCAAATTATTAGACACCTGGAAACATAGAATTTTAACTAAATTATTTTACAATTTTGGCAAGAGATGGGGTGTCACAACACAAGTTAACAAAAATGAAATGTACTCCCTTTTTAATGTAAAATACTTTGTACTAGTGCATATTGAGCTTTACATTAATACAAGGTACTCCAACAAAAATTTGTGCACAGCTAATATTCGGCAAAATAAACACTTTTACAAAAATCCGAAAACCGGTCGACTTTTATACAAAAGAAGCTCTTGTAGCTTTAACCCTGTTCTAGTTGCAACCCCCAACAAATTTGTAAATGGGACGAGGAGTTTTCATTCACGATTTTCTTAAAGATCGCTCGTTACTCGAAATGGCTTTCACTAATAATACAAATTACCATCTTGATTCAGATTCATATTTCAAATTACATTTCTCAAGACCTCAGGGATGGTTCATCGGGATTCGGCGATAGTTCTGCACATTTTCGTTGTACACTAACACTCTTAATTTTGAAATCAAATTTCCTGCTTTTTCATTTCATTTCTTTTCATCAGCCATAGGCAAAAAATCTTCATTACAAAAATGGTTTTATGATCATTACTGTATTCTGAACCATAGGGAAGGGAAGAGACTTATGAAATATACAGGCATTGCATTCCAAACATCGTAGGCGGCGGCGTCATGCGTGTATGTTTATGATGGTATAGCCTCTTAAGACAAATTCTATAATAATATATAAGAAAAGCACGTACTGTGGACAAACGCATTAAAGCAGGTCGTAAATTAGAGACTGAAGGAGCTTGATTACGGAAGGAAAACAGAAGAACTGAACGTAATGCAATATTATTGTAATAGAATAAGCACTATTCTATAAACCTACAAAAATCACTTTACTTTGTTTTACCTTACAACAAAAATAAGGGGGTGCGAATTTTTTCAATTGTCTTCCATATTTTAATCGAAAATTTGCTGTAACGTGCTATAAAAAAGGGTTTGATTTACGGGTAAACCTCTTCTGGAACTTTCTGTATGCCAAACGAGCAGTCGGGCGGCACCTTACCTGTTCTTCGACTAAAGGCAGCTGTGACTGTAACTGAATTTCCATGGTATTGGCACCAGGATTGGCACAGAATAGAGGTTCCGGTCTAAATAATATCTGGACGGGTGGCTTTCAAGGGGGAGATAACAGAGAACGGTAATTCAAAACAGAAAGAAAAAGCAGTTAATTTTCCAGACGAATCACAGTGCAAAGGGTGGTAAAACAAGAAGAGCGATTATTATGAAATAAATGTCCAAAGTTAAATGTAATAATCCCAAGATACAAACACAAAAAGAAGGAGATAATTAGTAATTTGCTTTAAAAGATACCAAAAGGTTTTTGCACAAAATCCACCCTCAGTAGGGAATACCTAAACGTTTAAATTACCGTCGAGATTACCGTGGTACTTTTGCAAAGGATTTTTTGTATATTTTCGTGTAAAAGCCATACTGTAAGTATATTACTTTAAAGGGGAGGTGTCAAGTTTTGTGATCAACATTAAGTTATTTATCTAGTAACATTTGTAGCCGAACTTCTATACATTACTAAATCTAAGATTTTATTTTCTTGGAAATTTGTGTAATGGCACCATCGTTCTAAACGACTTTACATATTCACTTCAGTCCTGCCTATGCAATGTTCAATTGGGTTTTTGTGGTAGACCTGCAAAGATTCCTTTATACGACGCTGTAGTTCCGGTATCTGATGATTCTTGATCTTCACTTTCGCTTGCATCATTCTCATTTTGTTCAGCGTCAGTATTGTAGTTACTCATCCTCCTTATTTGCTTCATCTACGCAAAAAATTTTCACATGACACCCATTTTCCTGGTGCTCTTCAGCGTCTTTCCTTTGTTCTGCTATACCTTCCCCAGATGTTCATGGGTTTCTAGTGTTTTTTATATACTAGACTAAGGTGTCGTTTACACGTTCACCAATTTGGTGTGCTCTTAATGCCCGGTTTCTTCAACAATATTTAAAACTGAAACAATCAACAACTATTGAATGTGCGATTGTTGGGGCTTTTCTTTTTGTAACATTTTCTTCATTGAACGATTTTAGAGTATAAAGAATAGTCTTTCCAATTTGCTCGGTAATAATGATTCCCCGTAAAAACTTCTGTAGATGTTAGATGCTTTTGATCTTAAGAGCAGGTGTTTGTCATAAAATCAATAAGCTCCCGGAACATGTGCTAGTACAGTTCTCATAAAGCTTTTGAAACCCCTTTATCATCCAACCAACAGAGACAAAAAGAGTTCCACATTTTTGTGGTGTCTAGGATGGTTAATAAGTTTTTAAAATACAAAATGCATAATTCCCCCCCTCCGCCCCCGCCGACACAAAAGAAAACCAAAAAAAATCGGAACTTTCTTCAAATTTTCGCTTATATCTTCGTTTCTGTGCATTTCACCTAAAAAAGTTGCAGAGAATTAAATTTCATATAATGTACGTTTTTAAATTTTGTTTCTTGGACTGGCAGTTGTCGAGATGAGCACTTAAAAAAATTTAAAAAAAAACGCATTTTCAAGAAATTTGACAAAATTCGGTGGCCAAGAGAGCGCACAAGTTTGTGGAATTACCGTTTCAACATCAAAAATTTGTTAGTGGGCGGATATTCAGTCCTATTTTACACCTGAGGTCTCGCCTGGCCTGAGGTCGAATATCTTTTTAAATTATGGCTTCTGCTACTCTGTCTCTGTCTCTTTCTTGTTCTTTGTTACAACGGTGGCCAAGAGAGCGAACAAGTTTGTGGAATTACCGTTTCAACATCAAAAATTTGTTAGTGGGCGGATATTCAGTCCTATTTTACACCTGAGGTCTCGCCTGGCCTGAGGTCGAATATCTTTTTAAATTATGGCTTCTGCTACTCTGTCTCTGTCTCTTTCTTGTTCTTTGTTACAACGGTGGCCAAGAGAGCGAACAAGTTTGTGGAATTACCGTTTCAACATCAAAAATTTGTTAGTGGGCGGATATTCAGTCCTATTTTACACCTGAGGTCTCGCCTGAGGTCGAATATCTTTTTAAATTATGGCTTCTGCTACTCTGTCTCTGTCTCTTTCTTCGCGATCAGATTTCATTGTACTGTACCGGTTGTCAGTGGGTATTTTATATATACTGTATTTTTGAAACAGATCTTCGTTTCTTAAGGAGTGCCGACAATAATTAGAGTATCTTCACCGAACTTCTCCAGTAGGCAGGATTTTAATTGTTCTTGAATCGGTGTGATATTCACCTTTGCTGCGACTCTTCAATTGATCGAGTGAAAATTAATTGAAGTGAAATTAAAGTACACTAAAAGAAAACTTGAAGCGCACTTTCAAGTAATTAACTTTCGAGTTACCGACTGCATCCGACATTTTTGTTTAAAGTCAAAATAATATAAAAAGATACTAGCTGCTTCCAGTATTTTCGGAAGTGCTTTTACATCGATTCGTCCTTCAGAGTACCTAACTCCTAAGTACAAATTTTCAAAAAGCTATCTATTTCACATTCCCAGTAACGTTTAACTAGAGCTCCCAAAAGAACACCCTGTAGATAGGTATGGATGCTTTAAACGTATTCATAACTTGCTGTGGGTATTTAATTCCTCTTCTAGAGAGATTTATCTCGTCATAATTCAAGATATTGCAAGAAGAAACATCAATAGTTTGATTTTCAACATTGCAAAATATTTTTGTATTTTGTCAATAGATTTTTCTGCCCGACAGCGTTTTATGTTGTAGCAGCTTCATTGACCTAATAAGTTTTTCTAACGGGCTAGAATGTAGCACTCTTATCTAGATACAGGGAGGGGGATCCCACGAATCCTTAATCCTGTGTCACTTTTTTTAACTTTTGGTTCTGAAAGATAGGTTTCTGTTTTTTTTATTATTTTAATTTTTTATTTTGATTTTGTTGTATGATACCTTTTGATATACAGGCTGGTCTACTTTTGCTTCGTAACTCTAAGAACAGGCTGTTTGGTTCCAAATTACGGTAAACTGTTGCATGTATCTATTTTCTCTTAACGGTATCCTAACTCACTTTTTTTGTTTTCCGTAGCTTGGTTTAAAAATAATGTTGAAGTTTCTCGATACACAACAATTCCAAATTTTTTCCAAGATTGTGACTTAATTTTTCGCAGTCTTGTATTTTAGTTAAGTAAGCTTGCGAGTGCAAGCAGACTCTAAAAATGTAGAGGGCCCTTAAGGCTATACAGTTGGACTGCGAAGAATACATTCTGAGCGTAACTGTGGAGGTTTAATCAAACAAAACGTCTGGGAGACGGAACAAATGGACAGTAAACGGGATGTGTCACTGCCAGATAACTGGTCAACCATAACTTTTAAAGCAATAACACGTTTAATAAATGTATCTCCTTCTAGCTAATGTGCCAACTCGAAAATTTTGAGATAAAATCCGAAATTTCGAGATTTTAAGTCAGAATTCTCATTCATAGACTGTGAGAAAGATAGAATAAGGTTCAAGATGATATCCACCTCTCAGTCACTTGCGAAATCTTAAATATGGCAATATAGAAATTCTCTAAGATGTTTTTGGGATTCACAAAGCAAGCAATAGGCTGATCTTGAAGTTTTCTATTTTATTTTACCATGAACAACATTTTTATTGCCAAAAGATCATATTTATACAATTGAAGATGCTGTACTTTTTCATACTTATATAAATTCTTCCATTCCTGATTATACACCCTGTAATCATTTCGTGAATTTTAGAGTTTTGAAACCAATCACTGAATACGCAAGGTTTGGAAAGATACGGTACAAAAAAATTTCAAATGCGTAATCAGCCGCTCATTATATGGCTCATTTATAGTAGGTTAGGTGTATGACCTTTGGCGCTTTTTAATCCCGATGCACTTCTCTTTTTTACATACATGAAATTTAATACTTATCAATAAATGAACGTTAATAAACTGATAATAAAATAATTGATTTTCGCCACGTATCTACAACGTGCCTTTTAACGTTGTACTTGCTCTGTTAATCAAATTCATAGGGTGGAAACAATGCCAACTCTTCTTTCTCGAACCCTCGAAACTGCTACTACTGCTGCTGCGACGATACCACCTATGATGTTTTCTCTTGCCGATGTTGATGAATGATGACCAAAGATTTTTCAAAAATATTACTTACACTGCATTCTCTCACCGTTACGGAGATCGCAATGGTGAGCCACGAATTTGAACCACCCTGTACATATGAAAGAAAAAAACAAAATCACACATATTATATTTTCATTCCATGTATTCATAATATGGATTTAGAAGTAAGTGAAATATTTTTCAAACCTTAAATGGAGGATAACTACCCTTTTATCTTATAAGAAAATGCCGCTTTGCACTTCTCTTTTTCAAAGTAAATTAAAAACCATTATACTGCAAGTCAAAGTGGGAGGTATTTTTCGAAAAAAACCTTTATTTTGTTATTAATTTTGAATAATTCAATAAGCAACGCGTATCTCTCCAATTGTTCACATGGAAAAACTCGGTTTTATGTACTATATATATATACAGGGTGACAATTTGAAAACTTACCACCCCTCATATCTTAGTAAATAAACGAGATATTTAAAAAAATCAAAATCCGTTTCGGTAATTCGGAGGGGGAATCACAATAACATAGTTGGCGACGCACCCCCTCCAACCCCCTGCGCCCCAGCCACCCCAACTTTTAAATCTTAAATAGTGACCCCCATGTGTGATACGTCGTTGGAAAGCTCTGAAAAAATGCTTTTCAACCATACCAAATAGCATTACATTTAGGTTAGTAATTATCGTGCAAATCAAAAAATAAACATGGAAAATCGTATTTAACTTGAACTTCCAAAGCCGACTTGACAGCAACTCATTTTTGATCGCCAGTTATAATCTATTCTCAAACTCTTGTCGAACCTTTTCAAATGTTGGTTTTGCAATATTTCGACATTCTTGAATTATTCTCTGTCTTAGTTCGTCTAATGTTCGCCGGTTGCGTTTTAAATACGACAGATTTCAAATGTATCATATTAGTTTATTTTTTTATTTGCACGATAATTACTAACCTAAATGTAATGCTATTTGGTATGGTTGGAAAGAATTTTTTCAGAGCTTTCCAACGACGTATCACACATGGGGGGTCACTATTTAAGATTTAAAAGTTGGGGTGGCTGGGGCGCAGGGGGTGTGAGGGGGTGCGTCGCCAACTATGTCATTGTGATTCCCCCTCCAAATTACCGAAACGGATTTTGATTTTTTTAAATATCTCGTTTATTTACTAAGATATGGGGGGTGGTAAGTTTTCAAATTGTCACCCTGTATAATATCTATCAATGAGCCAAAAATTATTCAGAAAAACTGCACACGCAGCTAAAAATAGAAATTGATTACAATCGATGCGGAAAAATTGACCTCATTATCATTATCGGCGACCGCTAATACATTTTATCTAAAATTGTGGCGTTACAGATACAACGTTGAATTGGAATTTGTCAATGGGCGAATAATAGCGACACACTTCGAAAGATCGATCCGAGATATTTGTTAATAACAAAACGAAGCAAATCTACAAAGAAATCCCCCAATGTCATGTATGCGCGATGGCACAAAGTTCAGAGGTTGATGCAGAATGAAGGATTATTTTATAGTATTAACACGACGCTTACCAGGCGCATACGAACTACTTCTAATTTACATATTAAACTAATGACAATCAAATATGGTATAGACCTAAATAAAAGTTAACGATGGAAATTAGCGAGTGTTTTAAAACAGTGATATTAAATTATGGCAAGAAAAAGAAAAATTTTAAAACTGTTTATTGGTGTAATTGTCGGACTTATCTCGACGTCGTTGTTTAAACAAAACGGCGAGACGCGGAAGAACGTTAGCTCGTGTGTTGCGAATTATGACGTGTACGATAGTGGCGAATATATCCAAAGTGTAATTAACGATACCAATGAATTTTTACTGGCCGGTGTAATGACCGCAAAAAAATACGTAAATACGCGCGCGAAAGCGGTCTACGAAACTTGGGGCAAAAATGTGCCTGGAAAAATACTCTTCTTCAGCTCGGAAGAATCGCGAAGCAACGAATTACCTCTCATCCCACTGTCCGGCATTGACGATAACTACCCGCCCCAAAGGAAATCGTTTGCGATGCTGAAGTACATGCACGACAATTACATTGACAAGTACGAATGGTTTCTTCGAGCCGACGACGATCTCTACGTGAGAACCGAACGACTGGAAGAACTACTGAGATCCGTCGACAGCAACAAACCGTGGTTTATAGGTCAGGCCGGAAGAGGGAAACCCCACGAAATTCGGTCCTTGGCTCTGAAAAGGAACGAGAATTACTGCATGGGTGGTCCGGGTATTATTTTAAGTAGGGACACCTTAAAACGCATCGTGCCGAATATTGAGGAATGTCTTAGGAATCTTTACTCTAACCATGAAGATGTTGAGCTTGGGAGATGCGTCAGGAAATTTACTGGAATTTCTTGTACGTGGGCATATGAGGTGAGTTGATTTTGATTTTTTCTGGTGGCTAACGTTTCCACAACTTTCAACCTGAGTATTTCTGACTTCAGGGAAAAATATTTAGTTACTCTCAATATTTTCCAAATGAAAGGAAGTGTCATCCTGAAACGTATCTAAAATGTTAATATGCGCCAACAATGTTCTACTAGCTAATGTTTTTTTAAATAAAATTGAATTTATAACCAGTCAAGTGGATAATTTGGACTTTCAAATTTAGGATTTTCTGGTGGGGAATATTAATTGCATCTCGAAAGTCTTAAAAAGACACGAATGATGTCCGTCTAAAGCTCAGACGAGAGTCACTAGCAGTAAAATTTGAAGCTTTTTACAGGGTTTATACGATGGTACTGTACTTTTAGGTAGGGTAGTTGAAAAATCTACTAAAAACACACGGGCCTGTCCAACGTATAATTAGTTCAGGAAATAATATACAGGGTGACAATTTGAAAACTTACCACCCCCCATATCTTAGTACCTAAATAAACGAGATATTTAAAAAAATCAAAATCCGTTTCGGTAATTCGGAGGGAGAATCAAAATGACATAGTTGGCGACGCACCCCCTCACACCCCCTGCGCCCTAGCCACCCCAACTTTTAAATCTTAAATAGTAACCCCCCATGTGTGATACGTCGTTGGAAAGCTCTGAAAAAATGCTTTCCAACCATACCAAATAGCATTACATTTAGGTTAGTAATTATCGTGCAAATTAAAAAATCAACTAATATGATACATTTTCTAAAGTTGGCCTTTATTTCAATAAATGTTCAAAATGTTTTCCGTTATTGGTAAGACAGTATTACTATGCGATCAAAAATGAGTTGCTGTCGAGTCGCCCTTTGAAATTTTTGTTTACATGGAAAATTGTATTTAACTTGAACTTCCAAAGCCGACTCGACAGCAACTCATTTTTGATCGCCAGTTTTAATCTATTCTCAAACTCTTGTTGAACCTTTTCAAATGTTGATTTTGCAATATTTCGAGATTCTTGAATTATTCTCTGTCTTAGTTCGTCTATGTCCGCCGGTTGCGTTATAAATACGACAGATTTCAAATATCATATTAGTTAATTTTTTTATTTGCACGATAATTACTAACCTAAATGTAATGCCATTTGGTATGGTTGGAAAGCATTTTTTCAGAGCTTTCCAACGACGTATCACACATGGGGGGTCACTATTTAAGATTTAAAAGTTGTGGTGGCTGGGGCGCAGGGGGGTGGAGGGGGTGCGTCGCCAACTATGTCATTGTGTTGAGATTTTTTTAGTTTAGTTAAAAGTGTGCGTGTGCTAGTCAGTTAGAATTAATATCATGTCAATTTACAATTTTTCAATTACAAAATTAATTTTACACATCGGTATTCGTTAATTCAATAGGTTATGGGCCCAGTTCACGAAGATCATTTCGGTACTTCCTGCGAATGGTGTGTACAAGAATATAAATTGTAAATTAGTGCGTGCAAGCAGTCTTGTTTGTCGAAGTGTTTAGAATCGTGTGGTACATCAACAAAGGATTGTGCACGTTTTCGGGAAGACATTCGGTGGCAAATAAGTAAGTGCATTTCGTTTTTATTTTCGTGTGAACGTTTGGAAATCGTACGGCATTGTGTGCGATTTTTAGAAAGAACATTCTAGAACGAAAAAACGCGAGGTAGTGCACGGTACGTACGGACAGTAAGCTGAAAAACGAGGAGAGTTCGTTGTTTTTGTTTCGAGAAAGTGTCATTGCACTTGTACTGTCAGTCGAGAAAAGAACAATTTCGTCGTGATTTCATCATCGTATGAAAGTGGACAATCGGTTCTTTGAGACACAGTGAATTCGGGAGAAACAAAATGGAGAGCGATCGAGTTAATATTGAAAAACTGGAAGGCGGAAGCAACTGGCTGACGTGGAAATTTCAAATGCGTCAAGTGCTAGAAGCTAGTGAACTATTCGACGTGGTAGATGGTACTGATTCCCCACCGTCAAATAGGGATGAAAATTATAGGACGGCTATCGTGGCGTGGAAGAAGAACGATGCCAAAGCGAAACGTGCAATTTCAACGGCGTGCAAGAAACAGCCATTGCTGCAAATTATGAATTGTGATACGGCAAATTCGATGTGGACGACGCTGAAAAGTACATACGAGCAGACATTGAAGTCAAATGTTTTATTTTTGCAACAAAAATATTACAGTTTCACAAAGGAGCCGGGCGATGATATTGCAACGTGTATTTCGAAACTCATGGAGATTGTGCAGCAATTGAAGGATCAAAAGGAGAATATTTCCGATACGATGGTTATGACAAAAATTTTGATGGCTTTGCCAGCAGAATATAACCATTGCCACAGTGCTTGGGAATCGACGAGTGCGGAAAATCAAACCATGTCAAATTTGCGTGCGCGATTAATGGCGGAGGAGCTTCGATTAAAATCGCAGGGTCAGATAGAACATGTGGAAGCGTTAATGGCCAAACAGAATTTTTCGAAGAAATGCAATTCTAATTCGAAAAAGGGTCATTCGTCGGGACAGAACAAGAACCAAAAGGGTACGAATAATAGCGGAAAGTTAAAAGGTTCGTGTTTTTCTTGCGGCGAAGCTGGTCATTGGAAACGGGACTGTCCACAGAAAAAGCAGAACAGTTCGGACAACAGCAAAAAGCATGACAGTGCATTGGCAGATGCATTTGTGTGTCATGGCACAACATTAACTGAAGACAAAGACTCTTGGGTGTTGGATTCAGGGGCCAGTGACCACATGTGTCATCGACGTGAGTGGTTTTACAATTTTGTGGAGACATCGTCACATATAATAATTGGAAATGGCGAAAAGATCATGGCTCAAGGAAGAGGTGACATCAATCTTCTTGCGTTTGATGGTAATCAATGGATTCGCAGACGGATGGTAGATGTGTTGTATGTACCGGAAATTCACGTGAATTTATTTTCGTCTGGAAAGGCCATGGATCGTGGTTATCAATTACAGTCGGATAACAAACTTTGCAAATTGCTGAAAAATGGAAACATTTTTGCAGTGGGAGTTCGACGCGAAAGGTTGTTTCAAATGCTATTCAAATGTGAGACAACATCTGAAGTCGATGGAGCCATTGCAAATGTGGCTGTTAAGAAAATTTCGCTTCGTGCATGGCATGAACGTATGGGACATCAAAACGTCGCACATGTGAAGAAATTTCTACAAAGCAACGATATTGATTTTGTAGACGAAGATTTTGCGTGCGTCTATGGAAAGCATCATCGAGGAAGCTACAAACTTCGTGAGGAAAAATCAAAGAAATGCGGGGAAATCATTTATGCGGATGTTTGTGGACCAATGCAAACGAATTCGATTGGTGGTTCGAAATATTTTTTACTTCTTAAAGATGATTTTTCACATTATCGTTTTGTATATTTTCTGAAGCAAAAATTGGAGGTAGCAGCAAAGGTTAAGGAAGCGGTGATACGAATGCAACAAGAGAATGGACACAAGGTGCGCTATTTTCGATCAGACAACGGGACTGAGTTTGTTAATGCGGAGTTGAAGAAATTTTTCAACGATTCTGGTATTGTACATCAACGAACTGTACCGTACACGCCGGAGCAGAATGGCTGCGTCGAACGCGATAATCGGACGATCGTGAAGTCAGCGCGGACGATGATTCATTCAAAGCAAATGGATTACAAATTCTGGGCGGAGGCTGTAAATTTTGCAGTATATGTGCTGAATCGAACTGGAACGAGCACTGTTTCGGAAAAATCACCGTATGAATTGTGGTACGATAAGAAGGCGAAAATCGAGCATTTACGAATCTTCGGGTCTGAGGTTTTCGTACACATTCCAAAGGAGAAGCGACAGAAGCTGGATCCAAAAGCAGTCAAGTGTGTATTTGTCGGATTCGACAATTATTCGAAATTATATCGAGTGTGGAATCCGATGGCGAACAAAATCGAGGTAGCTCGTGACGTGATTTTTCTTTTGGAGGAATCAATGGTCACATTTGACATCAATAACGAAAAATGGGTCGATAAAAAAGCTAACGTGATGGATGATGAATTGGATGCTGATGATGCAGAAATGATACCGGAACAATCAACCAATCGTGGTGCAGTATGCGATATCGATAGAGGGAATATTATCGAACGACGTCTGCGCGATCGAAGCAACATTGTACCAGCAGAGCGGTTAACGTATTTCGCATCAACAGATCGTGTTGCCATGTTGGCAATTGACGAAGAACCAAGAACTTACGAACAAGCCATTCATTCGAGCGATCACATACAGTGGGAGCAGGCAATGAACGAAGAGTACGATTCGCTCATCAAAAATCCCACAAGGAATTTGGTCAATCAACCGAAGGACAAAAAGGCGTATGTACAGAAGGTACTTAATCGTTTCGGCATGACAGACTGTAATGCTGTGGCGACACCATCGGACAGTGCACAAAATCTTGGATATTTTTACGCAGATGGAGAAACGAATTTTTCGTATCGTGAGGCAGTTGGTAGTTTGATGTATTTAGGAGTGGCCACACGACCAGACATCAGTTTTGCTGTTGGTAATGCAAGCCGACATCTTGAAAAATCGGCAGTGGCGCACGTGAATGCGGTAAAACACTTCTTAAAATACATCAAAGGAACAATACATATGGGCATTCGATTTGAAAGTGGCACCAATTTGAATCTGTGTGGTTACAGCGACGCAGATTATGCGGGAGACATCAAAACCAGGCGATCTACATCTGGGTATGTTTTTATGCTTGGTAACAGTATTATTAGTTGGGGTTCGGAGCGTCAAAAATCAGTGGCGCTGTCAACAACTGAGTCCGAGTATATGGCGGCGGCGTATGCGATAAAGGAATTGATATGGTTGTATCTATTGTTATACGAATTATTGCCGGTCGTTTTGGACAAACCGATTTTTCTTATGGATAATCAAAGCGCAATTCGACTTATTAAGAATCCGGAATTCCATAAGAGAACAAAACATATCGATGTACGATATTATTACATTC